CACTGTCACATACACAGGGATACTCACACTGGCACACAGATACACACACTGGCAAATACAGACAGATATGCACACAGACATCCATTTGGTAATTATAATAGGGTTTGGGGAGTAGGTGTGAGGGTTGTGAGCATGCCACAGGTAAGGAGTAAGAGTTAGGGGGGTGAGTGTGAATGTTCGGGGTGGGTGAGAGTGACAGGATGAGGGGTCATAAGTGATTGTGGGAGGATGGTGAGTGTGACAGGGTGAGGGGTCGTAAGTGATTGTAGGAGGGTGGTGAGTGTGACAGGGTTAAGGAGATTAGTATAACAGTGTTAGGTTGACAGGGTTAGGGAATTAGTGTGACAGTGTTAGTGGGTTAGTGTGACAGTGCTAGGGGGGGTTAGTGTGACTGTTAGTGGAAATAGTGTAACAGGGTTAGGGGGGTTTAGTAGGACATGGTTAGGGGTGTTAGTGTGACATGGTTAGGGAGTTAGTGTGACAGGGTTAGGGGATTAGTGTGACAGAGTGAGGGGAATGTGGTAGGGTGTGTAGTAGGGAGAGGGGTGGCAAGTGAATGACAGTAATTAACTATATAGTTCTTTGCCTCCCTCCTGCTTACCTTCTGTGAAAATAGGGGAATAATAATTCCTCCCATGGTGATCCAGTGGGTCCCTGGTGGTCTGGTGGGCAGCTGGTTCACTCCCTGGTGGTCCAGTGTGTTGATAGTGCAGCCGCACACCTGCATGGTCCCGGCACTCTGTGATGACGTCAGAGCACAGGCAAGGAACCCTGCGCCTGTGCTCTGACACTCACAGAGGCCGGGACCGAGTGGGAGCACGGCTGCCTCAGCAGCACACTGGACCACAGGGGGACCATTTGTTAGAACTGTCAGGCAGATCCATTGATCTCCATGGTGGCTCGAGGAATGGGGCCCGATCAGAGCCGGAAATTCTGATGGCAGGGCCCCCCTTCACATGGCACCCAGGCCGGGTGGGGGGGTGGCACTTTCACCTACACTCTCCTCCCTCCTGGCACAACACGCGGCAAACGGCACCTATTTCGGGTTATTGTCGGATTTGGCGCAGCAAGGGATCAGTACTCCCTAACTGTGATGAATTGTTTGATAGCCCGAAATAATAATTGAATGTGGGACCCAGATGTCTGGGCCCCCCAGACCGCTGGGCCCATAACAACCGTCATGGTTGTCACCCCCTGATGGCGGCCCTGGGTCTAGACTATGGTACCTGGGAATTCTTGTTATGAATGATACCTGAGAATTCATTATGAACGTTACCTCCCTAGTAGTTAAACCCTTAAGAATAATTCCATCTTGGATATATTTTCCCTTAAAGGACCACTATAGGCATCCAGATCACTTCAGCTCAATTAAGTGGTCTGGGTGCCAGATCCATCTAGGATTAACCCTGCCTGCTGTAAACATAGCAGTTTCATAGAAACTGCTATGTTTACATTAGGGTTAATCCAGCCTCTAGTGGCTGTCTCATTGACACTCGCTAGAGGCACTTCCGCGCTTCACACTGTAATTTTCACAGTGAGAAGACGCCAGCGTCCATAGGAAAGCAATGAGAATGCTTTCCTATGGACTGGCTGAATGCGCGCGCGGCTCTTGCCACACATGCACATTCAGCCGATGACGTCGGAAGGAGGAGGAGAGTCCCCAGCGTTGAGGGAGCCCGACACTGGAGAAAGGTGAGTGTTTAACCCCCTTCAGCCTGGCGGGCACCCTCAGAGCACTATGGTGCCAGGAAAACGAGTTTGTTTTCCTGGCACTATAGTGGTACTTTAACCCCTTAAGGACACATGACATGTGTGACATGTCATGATTCCCTTTTATTCCAGAAGTTTGGTCCTTAAGGGGTTAAGGGCCCATAATGGAATATTTCCGCCATGTGGCATTTACCAGCAAGAAGTGTTTCCTTGCTGGGAACTCATTCTGATCTACAATAGTAACAGGGGAACCCCAAGTATGTTTATTATTATTATTATTATTGCCATTTATATAGCGCCAACAGATATGGTAGCGCTTAGATGTTTAGATACCTGGAGCTTCCCTCTATTAGCTGGGGGCATAATTAGTGGCCCAATCCTGACAGATAAGCTGCATGCAGCGATCAAAGTCAGTGCTACACTCAGTTCTTTAAAAAGGAATTTTAATTACTGATAGTACAACTTGGTATGAACAGGTTTAAAAATCCCTGCTAACGCCAGGGAGACCCAGGTATCAATTGGTTATTTAATTCTAAATGCAAAAACTTAAATGTTCAGGTCTCATAATGTCACTGTAGTTTCACAGGATAGCTGCAAAGGCATACGTAGGGATAATTATTTTGCTGTACTTGAACACAGTATAAGGTTTTGTACAGGAGTAGCACACATTTTAAAAATACACATTGAAAAGAAACTAGGGACATCTCAAAAAAACAAAATGTCACTACAATATGAGAATACAATTGGCAGTTAAATGACTACAAAATTCCCTTAGGTAAATAGCCTAATTGCAAAAAAAGGAGGGATACGCACTCTCATCATCTGTAGACCTCCTGGCAAACTCCTAATCCATATAGTAAGAGCACAGTCGTCCAGGCACTCAAGGTCTTCATATATCAGCAGATTTATTGGATTTTTATCAAATTTTTTGATCCCTGAAGGGATCAAAACGTTGCTGTATCTGTCATGTTTTTCCAATAAATCTGCTGATGTATGAAGACCTTGAGTGCCTGGACTACTTTGCTGTTACTATTAGGTAAATAGTCTATGATGTCTACTTGTTATAAATATATACTTTTTTTTTTGTGGCAATTTAATTTTTTACCCATGACACTGATGTCTGAAGTGGGATTCAAACCCAAGTGTCACAGGTAGCAAGGTCTCTTAGTGTCCCTTGATCACTTCCTAATCCTCTGCTGGTTCTGGACTCAGCTACAGCATACAGTGATTATAGCCCTCTGGAACCTTGTAAAATTCCAGAAATATAGTGGACAAGACCAATCATATTGAGTAAAACAAAAGAACTGTTTATTTCAGGGAAAACCACAACAGGGGATATTCAGCCAGAACAATGCAAACCACTCTCTGTTGTCTTGGTGTCTGGGTCATAATTAGGTCAAGACATGCTAGCTTAATTTCCTGCTGGACACCAAGACAGATTGCACAATATATTTTACATAATATAATTAACCCAATAGCTCTCATTCATTTTAACATTTTACTAAATAACTTGACAATTACACAACATATCCCCACATCCAATATATAATTTTAAAATCTGTGGGCAGGAGGCTAGCTGTAATGCCTCTCAAGCAGGCTGTGGCACGGGAGCTTCCGTGACATGTGTCTTTTTCTATCAATATATCATGCTGTGCCATGCTATGTGTTCTAATGCATCACCCAGACACAAAAAAAAAAAAAAAGTATATAATATGTGTTTGTGAAATAAATGACAAATATAGAAACTGTGGTTCAACACACCAAGAGCAAATTTTGCTTGTGTCCTTAAAGGGACACCATGGTCACCAGTACAACTACAGCTTATTGAAGTTGTTCTGCTGAGTGTAGTCAGTCCCTGCAAGCATTTTCCTGTAAACAGTGACTTTCCAGAGAAAACACAGTGTTTACATTGTAGCCTAGGGACACCTCCAGTGGCCACTCCTCAGACGGCCACTGGAGATGCTTCTTGTGTCATTGTTGCACAGTATGGACCACTGACGTTTAGCTATAAGGAGATGCTGATTGGCCGCATTTGGCTCCTCACCAGCTTGCCTCCTTAGCTGAGATAATCAATTCTGATGATGAAAAACACTCAGAGTGAAATTAAATGCATAGACTGGTATCTTGCAGAGTTAGTGAAACTAATGGACTTTCAAACAGGCAATATGCATAATTGAAATGCCAATTAATGAATTTGCATATACACGATCAACAATCAAGGATATGGGAAGAAGATATCTTAATGATCTTTAGGAAATTATGCATGATATAATTATGTAACATACTGCATTTACCTTGATACAAGAAAAGAGGGAAGTTAAAAAAGAACCATGTTTTCATAAATGTAATTTATGCATCAGTTTAAATTTTATAATGAAAGAAAAGATACTGTCCATTTTAAGAAAGCCAACTCTTAACCACAAACATAACTGATGATATATATATATATATATATATATATATATATCAACATACATACACATGTTGGGTATGGTATGTGCAAAGAGATATATTTAAATTACATCATTATAGTAATTTAACCATACATGTGGGGGCAAAGTAGAAAAAAACAGCATATGAATAATGGTCTACTGGTAGTATATGTGAATCAACTTTTTGTCATGGATATAATCTTGATGAAATGAAACATGATATAATTAATATATCATTAAATATGATTAAGATTAATCCAATTGTATCATCCAGTGTACAGGAAAATGTTCATGTAAGCAAACACTTAATTTGACTCTACAAACCCCTTAGTTTTCGATTAGGTTTAGCAGCCCAATAGAATATGGAATATTTTGTTAGACTCAACCAGCGTGAATTCCTTAACATAATAAAAACATATAAAGGAGGAATACACTGACATTGTCCCATTGTATGCTAATATGATGACTACCCAGGATAGAATATTCAGGCCAGAATGCATAGACTTTGTTGAATCATACTTTGCTTTCATTTAATTAATTGTTACATACATTAAAACTTTGTATTAATAAATCTATATTTTCACATTGAGTACATTATTTGTATTATAACTATAAATATGTGTTTATACCAATGCCTTGGAGATAGAGAACTAAGGAGATCAATATTGGTATTTACATTTGTTTTACTAACACCCCTGAAATGAATGTGTCCCTGTGTCTTTATGAAATATTGAAAAGTGAGCTTTACTCATATATATATATATATATATATATATATATATATATATATATATATATATATATTTTTTTACCAGCAAAGGCTGATGGACAAAGGTTTATTTTCGGTTCTATATGTTCCCTTTAACGTGTCTCTCTGTCCATCTAAAATGTTGATAGATGGGATCATGATTTTGGTGGCATGGCCAATGCCCAACATACGGATATTCATCCAACTCTCTCTATTAGAGTCAAGGCATTAAGCATTTTTGTTCTCTGACGCTGCACTATAAAGCCTTTATGGTGGAAATCAATGTTAAAAGTACAAACTGGCCAAACGCAACAAAATTTCCCTATCTCGTACAGACCAAGGCGTAAACTGCACTTTACGTTAAAATTTTACGTTACACGTACGAATCATGCGACGCCGTCGGGATTTTGACACGCGCAATGACGCGACGGTGGCGCAATGACGTAGGGGTCACGCCGCTGGACGTAGCGGAGGTTATAAGACGGTGCTTTCAGGTGTAGTTTCAGTTGTGTTTCGTGTTGTCGTTTGGAGAACCATGGGGGCTTCCGAGGCTGATAGAACACTGTTTGTCGGGAATTTGGATCCGAGAACAACTGAGGAAATTCTGTTTGAGCTGTTCCTGCAGGTTAGTATTATTAATCAGGCTGAGGTAGGGCTCTGATTACTGTACAGTGCGTGTGGAGGAGCGTTGCACTAAATGTTCCCTTACTGCCAGGAATTGATTGATTAATTGGAGATGAATGGGAGATTGTGTTGCTTTGGACGCACATTTTATGTACGAGTCGGCCATATTTGTACGGTATATTTTCCTGTACATTAGGACAGCCCTGCACCTCCTCTTCCCATATTTCTGCCTGTGTGCCAGTTTGTCTGCTTTTACTCCTAAAATAGAAAGTAATAGTAATTTACATTTATTTACTTTAACTTATGATTTCTCAGGAGTATTTTGTGTAGCTTAAAGGGACTCTATAGGCACCCAGACTACTTCATGCCATTGTTGCTGTCCTCCTTGGTCTTGTAATGCAAAGCATTGTAAGGCGGACACTAGAGGCGCTTATTGGAGTTTTAACTCTGTGAAACTATGCTGTATGTCATCACGCGGGGCATGAGAATGTCCAGTGTCAGAGAAAACTCTATAGGATTGGTTTGGGGCAATGCTTTCCCATGGATTAGGCTTAAAGGACCACTCTAGGCACCCAGACCACTTCAGCTTAATGAAGTGGTCTGGGTGCCAGGTCCAGCTAGGGTTAACCCATTTTTTAATAAACATAGCAGTTTCAGAGAAACTGCTATGTTTATGAATGGGTTAAGCCTTCCCCCTAATCCTCTAGTGGCTGTCTCATTGACAGTCACTAGAGGCGCTTGCGTGCTTCTCACTGTGATTTTCACAGTGAGAGCACGCAAGCGTCCATAGGAAAGCATTGTAAATGCTTTCCTATGAGACCGGCTGAATGCGCGCGCAGCTCTTGCCGCGCGTGCGCATTCAGCCGGCGGGGCGTAACAGAGGAGGAGAGGAGGCAGAGAGCTCTCCGCCCAGCGCTGGAAAAAGGTAAGTTTTTACCCCTTTCCCCTTTCCAGAGCCGGGCGGGAGGGGGACCCTGAGGGTGGGGGCACCCTCAGGGCACTATAGTGCCAGGAAAACGAGTATGTTTTCCTGGCACTATAGTGGTCCATTAGGTCCCCTCCTCGGATGCTGTTGGAGGAGGCAGAGGGATCTGTAAATTGATATTTAATGCTTTACAACTAGCGGGGGCTTGTTAGAGAGGGCTACAGGGGCTGAGTAATATATTAGTGTTAGGAATACATCTATGCGTTTCTAAAAACTAAAGCGTTCCATTAAGGTATGATGAGTTGGTTGCCTTTTATTGTGCCCTCTTTGTTTCCCACGTGCCTAAGCATTCTCCCTACTTCTATCTCTGATATTAATTACAAATGATCAACCTCCAATCTTTGTCTAGCTTCTCTGCCTATTAATTAACAGGAGAGTTCACGTTGCTTAATTTCCTGGTTCAGAGTTAGTAGAGATTACATAGTTTAGCATTTCCATTTACAGTTTTCCTGGATTGTCTGGACTCTGTCATGGAGGGGTTTGACATAAACTTAGACTTATAAGGCATATTGGTCAGTTGAATGACATTGGTCATGTAGACATGTTAAATATTATCAATGCAGCTGGTTTAGAATGGTTTTATTTTTATACCTGGATTCAGTCAGGTCGTGCTCCCTACCTCCACTACATCTGCCGCAAGCTCCAAAGTAGGAGCTTCCTTAGCTCTCCTAACTAAATCTTGCACCACCGTGCTTAGGTCAGGCAGAGAGATTTTGGCTCATGATTTCATGCCATCCACTATTGAAAGAATGAGTATGAGATTGCCTTAGGGACCGTAAGCGTCCCTTCTCAAGTAGTGCCAGTTTTCAGTTTGGTAGGTCAACAGTGGTGCTGTTTCTGTGATTGACTATTGTTAAGGCTCCTTGTTGAAGCAAAACATATACTAAAAGTTTGGGATGGATGCCAACATAAATGTATGGACCATTAATGCTTTCCTGAACTGACCCCACCCTCGTTGAAGCATGCCAATAGTCATATTGACAGAAGAGCTCTGGAGTGGCTTGCAAGACCTTTCCTCTAGTGTGACTTTCTTCATGCTGCTATCTCATGCAAGGGACATATAAACACATGGATAGCTTATAGTTGGCATTGCTTCTGTTTCTCCTCCTGTAATGGGCGTGGACCAGGCTGGATCGTAATGTCATTTGCTATATATTTGATATACACAAACCGAAGGTCCCGTGAAATAAGGTTGCATAATATGTATAGTTTGTTTCAAAATAATCCCATTTGTCTGTATATGTACCTACTTTTTTCTTTATTGATACATATTTTGTACCTCTCCTTTAATCTGCTAGATATGTATGTTAACTCAAAATTAACATTTAAATAATTTTTCATGACACAAAGTTCCTATTTTTTTTTTTTTCACAAATCGGTTGAAAGAAAACTGGTTAAATTTCCTTTTTTCTTTATTTTTGTTTGCAGGCAGGCCCTGCTACCAATGTAAAAATTCCGAAGGATAAGGATGGTAAACCAAAACAGTTTGCTTTTGTGAATTTCAAGCATGAAGAATCTGTTCCATATGGGATGAGTCTGCTGAATGGCATCAAGCTCTTTGGAAGGCCGCTTAAAATTCAGTTCAGATCAGGTAATCAAAAACGAATTCCTTGATTAACAATGTCTTCATTCATTTAAAGGGTCACTCTTGGCACCAAACCCACTACAACTTAATGTTGTGATCATGCTATGTAGATTCTGTACACGGACTATGACAAATGTAAGCATTGTCTGAGTGTGTTGCCATTGAGAGATTATTTGTATCATGTCTGATGGACCACTAGGGGAATAGGTCAGTGAACAGTATGATAATTGCAGAGTTTGCTTTTAATTTTAAAAAGTACTAAGTTTAGCCCAACTGAATATAAATACCTTGTTGTAAAAAAATAAACCTAGAATGCTAAATAACATGTAACATCTGAAATTTGAGGTCTCTCACAAGTGTGCGTGTCAGTCAAACATGTGGTTCCGACTTAATATAGTTGTCTATGTTGAAAAAGACTAAAGTCCATGACGTTTAAACCTGAAGCACATTCTTTTATGTTGATCCAAAATAAGGCTAAAACCCATTTGTAGTCCTTTCCAATTATGCCATAAAAAAGGTGAAAAATCTTTCTTGACTCCATATTGATCAAATTTCTCCTAGGTTCAGCAAGCTGTTTACATATATCGATTATATCCTTGAAGATTGATTTTTATTTACTGGGCATTACATTAAAAATGTAGAAGGCTGATTCAGTTTTTTTTTTTGTTTTTGTTTTTTTTTAGGAAGCAAGCATCTTCCACAGGATTCAAATAACATGTCCTCACCACAGATGAATGACAGTGGAGCCTCTGTTCTTGGTAGCCCTGCAACAAATGGTAGCAGGTAGGAAAATCTAAACAATTTCTACATTTTACTACTGTAGTGATTAAAAAGGTTAAAAGAATTGAATAGCACATTAATTTAAGTGGCTATCAGAAGCATCTTGAATGCAATTTTATTTTTTATGTGACACAAATTTTTTTATTTTTCTATAAATCTCATCAGCAGGTATGACCGTAATGGAGATCTCATGAAATATTCTGGAAACATGTTACCTGTTCAAAATTTTCAAAGATCCTACTCTTCGCCAGAAAATCTTCAACGCCAAGCAGTGGTGAGTTTGTATTGTTGTATTTCTGTTTTTACGTCAGGTCAGGTTTTGATCATATATTTGATGCAAACCAGTCTTGCAAAACACCTAAAAAATCCACTTGTAGATGCCAATTTTTTATGTGTAGCTATGTATTAATAGAGAACGTTTCAGGTATTGTCATCACTGCTGACACCCCTCACGCTAAACTAGATTTTGTCGTGAATTGACCAGGAAATTTCAAGTTTTAGGAGAAAATAGTTCAGCTTAAAAGTGAAGTTGGATATTTACATTTTTTTTTTTTTCTTAAAACTTGCAATCTCATCCAGTCAACTGCATCCTCAATATTGAGGATTTCATATTCACACAGGTCCTACATGAGAAATGATGAAATGGAATGTTAGTTAAAGCATAGATTTTGTGAGCCACCTGTAATGATCCTATCTGAAATATACAGAGATGCTGGTTTTTACAGCCACTAAAATATGCTCCTTCTCTCATTTAGTGGACAAACTCCTCAGACTCATTGTTCTGTAAGGAGAATAAGTCACATCTCTTGTGGTATTTTGCTTTATTAGAGCTATTGGACTGAATATTTTGTCGACTTTTGAATAGTGACATGCATGTTTTTGAGACAACTGTTTCATTCAAATGCATATTGTATATGTAATTTTATACACGGCTCAATATTCTCACGCTCTACTAGTCATTTCTCAGAAAAAGAATAAACCATAGAGAGCAAAGTCTAAGTTGGAGGATGAGGAGTCAGTCTACATCTGAGGACTGACTCAAACGCAAGCTTTTGCGTATTTTCCAAAAACTTTGAGAATTGAGGCCAGTTTTATTGCTTCTTTAATCAGCGCTAACACAATTTTGAAACCTTTTAGGGTTTGATAAATTTGCTTGGAATCTAGGAGCCAGCTAAAATAGTTAAAAGCCAGGTTTTTTTAAATGAACAAAGATTAATTTTCAGTGAGCAAAATACAATTAAAGGTATAATTTAGTTACCAGAATTACTACAGCTTAATGTAGTGGTTCTGGTGTCTATAGCCTGTGAGAGACTATGAATGTTCCCCATAAAGATGCAATGATCCAATTCAACTCTGAGTAGATGCCGGTTAGGGCATGCTTCCTAGCCTCCCAATACTTTCCTATGTGAAAATATTGGTTTGGCTGAGGTCTTCAAGATTGATGATCGTAGCCACGGAGGCAGGGCCAGGCACGGTGTGTCTGGCACAGAGTGGGGGAAAAGGTGAGTAAAATCACGTTTCCCATGTGGTCAGAGGGAGGCCTGTCACTTAAACACACGCACTGCAGAAATGCACCGAAATTATATATGTTTTTTTCATTATTTTAATTGAAATCCACTCAGCCTCCCTACCTTTAGGACCATGTACCTGCTCTGCTCCTTTTCATGCACTGCTTGGTATGCTGGGGTCAGAATGAAGTCAACATTCACACTTGTTGTACTTTATATTAGAATTGGATGAATTCTCACATGCAGGAAAACCTAGACTAGCTCTTTGCTGATGTTTTTGTCTAAATATTAAATGATTTTTGTTAGTTGTTAGTGTACTAGTACAGAGGGGTGTGTGTTTGTGTGTCTGCTTCCAGAATGAGTTACATTTATTGTCCGTTTAATCTCAAGTATGTTGCAATTATTTATATCAAATGTCTTCTTAGAGAATCTTTGTGAAAACTTTTATAGCTCTACTTTCGAGAAGAATTCATATATAAGGAAATAATTCTAAGTGTCTTCCTCTTTCAGCTGAACAACATTCAGTGGCAACAATGCACATATGGATCAAGTACACCGCTGAATCAACCCTGCTTCTCCTCCTCATCCACTCCTTCCCCCTCCTCCTCTTCTCAGCTGTACAGTAATTGTCAGTCTACTCCGCAACGGTATGATTCTGGCAATGGCCACCAAAGAAGCAGAGGCAATGGCTCTCATCCATATTTAAGTGAAAGTCGTCATTATCAGCACCACCATCACAGAGAGAACAACTATAGGGGAAACACAGAGGAGTATTACCACGATGAACGAAACCTTGAAAGCCGGAGCCATGGACAGAGGAGTGGAAGCAGGTGGCATCCCTCAAGACACTAAATTTCTGTTTTTACTTAAACGTCTTTTTAAAGTTTTTACATATAATAGAATCAAAATGGATTTGTGTATGTGTACACACCTTCAAAATATGTTAAGAAATTTACATGTCCTGTCAAAACATTGTTTTATTGTAAGGATTGTTGCTAAAAATGTGGAATCTCCCTAGATTTAAAAAAATAAAAAATAAAAAATCAGTTGTTATTGGGGGAGGGAAAGTATACTTTCTATAAACTATTTTTATAATTTACCTCAATAACCGGTGTTCAGTTTTATGGTTAGTTTGTTTTTTTTCCCTCTTGAATGGATAGCACAAAAACAGATGTTTAGCTTTCCAGAAACCAGCAAACTGTCAAAATGTAAAATGAAAATAATGTGACTTAGTATCAACCATATCTTGATAACTTTACATTTCCTTAATGCTTTTAGGTATCTTTGATATCTAAATTATCTACATTTTATATGCAAATATATGAAGCAGTTGGAAAATCTCATTTTTTTTTTATTTATTTTTTTTACATTTATTTATTAATCAAAAGCTTGATTGTAGTATTGGAGAGTAGAAATTGAGTAAAAACTTACAGCTACCAGAGTCTGTATCTTGTGTGTGGTAACTGTGTATTACAGTGATTGTGGCTGCATGACAAAGCGTGTGATAGGTGAGTTGGGGGCGCGGCAAATCCAGAGAAGTCTAGGAGAATATCCATTTACTGGGTACATATTGGGAAAGTGCCAGCATAATGCAAATTCATAGCCGGTGCACAGTGCGATGTTGATAATGACATTGCAAGAGCGTTACATTGCACATGCATGATTTTTTACAATTTCTAGGGATAGGAAAAGCTTGTGATTGTGACTGGTCTCAAAAGGTTACAGGTCTGTTTAAGTCCATTGTAATATCACTAATCAATCATTATAGAATACAATTTGTTACCCGTTTTAGATGACAGTTATCCCAAATATAGGGGTAGGTCTCGAAGACTCACCCACTCCCCATGTCAAGTATCTAAATGATCCAATTACAGAAAATAAAGCATGCTATCACACTTACTTTTTTATGAACTGTTTTTAGGGATCTGTACATCTAGCTCACTCTTTAGGATAGGATATTTCATTACTTTTGTATTTCATTACAATTCAATATATGGCAGTGAATGCTTTTTCAAGAATGTATATTGTTACATTTTAAGCAGTTAGCATTTTTCCACTTTTTGTTTTTTGCTATTTCTAATTGAAGGGTTATGGTTGAGTGGAAAACCCTATGAATTCCTAGGGAATCTTTCAGTTTGTTGTTTTACCATAGCTGAAAGTTGTTGGATGCTAGTTAAGGTCCCAAATATTACTGTAATATCTGATCCAAATGTAGGGTAGAACTTTGCTTGCTATTAGGAAGGAAAGGAAAATACAATGATCTTACTCCTAAATGGGGGTTAACCCCAGTGCACAATGTGCACTAAAAATTTAATAAGGGAACAAGGGAGTGGGGGGGAGGAGACAGGAGAAGAGTAAGGATAAGTAAGTAGCGTATCCTTAAAGTAGCGTGTTCTCTGTCTCTCTCCTCCTGTCTCCCCTCCCTTGTTGGAGTGAAATAATGACCAGCCACAACATTGAAACCATCTGCCTAACCTTGTGTGTTCCCCTCGTGCTGCCAAAACAGCACTGATGCACAAGGCATGGACTCCCCAAGACCTTGAGTGAAAGTCTAACAGAGGAAGGGTGTTCCATTGGAACAGTGCAGCCCTAGAGAAGTATTTAAGGTGAGCATCAGAGGTAGGAGTATGAACAGAGGTTAGACGTAGGTCTCCAGCAGAATTTAGGGGTCTAGAGGGGACTTATTTGTGTATTTGTGAGGATAAGTAGGCCGGAGCAGCATTATGTAGAGATTTGTAAGCAAATATCTGGATCTTAAATGGAGTTAAATATCTTACGGGAAGCCAATGTAGGGACTGACAAAGGGGGAAGGCGTGGGAGGTGCGGTAAGACCACTGAGAAGTGGATTACAGTAGTCAAGATGAGAGAGGACAACGGCATGGACAAGCACCCTTTCCATATCAGGTGTTAAATAGGGTAGGATGCATGCAATGTTTTTGAGATGGAAGCGGCAGGATTTGGTGATCGATTGTACGTGAGAGGTGAAGAAATGATCACAGTCAAAGAGAACACCTAAGCAGCGAGCCTGAGCGGTAGAGCGGATGGTAGCGCCATTGACTTGGTAGGAAACAGACAAGGGAGTAGTAACACTTGAAGGAGGGAAGACCAGAAATTCTGTTTTAGACAGGTTCAGTTTAAGGAAATGAGGACACACCCAATTGAAAATAGAGAGGCAGTGAGAGACATGAGTCAAGAGGGGTGGTGAGAAATCAGGGGAGGACAGATAAATTTGTGCATAGAAATGATAATGGAAGCCAAAGGAGCTGATGAGTTTACCAAGGGAGGCAGTGTAGTTTGAGAATAATAGGGGACCAAGGACAGACCCTTGGGGAACACCAACAGAGAGGGATTGGGGAGAAGAAGCAGAGCCAGAAAAAGAAAAACAGAGCGCTGTAAGAGGTAGGAAGTGCACCAGGAGAGAGCAGTATCTCATAGACTGAGATTACCCAGGATGAGAAGAAGCTGTTGATGATCAACAGTGACAAAAGCAGCAGACAGATCGTGAAGAATTAGGACAGACTAGTGGCCATGGGATTTTGCAGTGATACGATCATTGTATACTTTGGTCACAGCTGTTTCAACAGAGTGACGAGTCGGGATCAAGCAGAGCAGAAACTGAAGCGGGTCAAGCAGAGAGTTGGATTCGAGGAAGTCTGTCAATCTCGCATACCCCACTCTCTCAAGGATCTTGGAGGCAAACGGCAGTAGCGAGATAAGGCAGTAGTTGGATGGGAAATTAGGGTCAAGGTTGGGCTTTTTCAGAATTGGGTTATGGTTGCATGTTTGAAGGGTAGAGGAAATGTGCCAGAGGAGAGGGAGCGATTGAAAATTTTAGTGAGGTAGAGCAAGAGAAGGTAACAAAGTGCAGATGAGATATGAGGGAATAGGATCGAGGGAATAGGTGGTAGGGCAGGACGAACGGAGCAGAGCAGAAATCACTTCTGCTGTAGCAGGTGCAAATGAACATAGGACAGTTGGTAGTGGATTGAGAAAGATGAGAGATCTCTTCCCTGATTGTAGAAATCTTCTGAAGTGAGTTTCAAAGTTTGTGGCGGTCAAGTTGATACGAGGAGAAGGCACAACAGGGTGAAGAAGACAGTTAAAAGCATGAAACAGTCATTTGGGCTTGCGGGAGAGTGTCATGGGGAGTGTATTGAAGTATTTTTCTTTTGAAGAGGAAAGAGCCAGACTGTAGGAGCGCAACATAAATTTATAGTGGAGGAAGTCAGATGCAGATTGAGACTTTTTCCAGCAGCTGTCACAGGTTTAGGGTGAATGGGCTCGGAATGCAGAAATGTATACGGGCACAGTCACTGAATTAAAAGGTTTTTATTTTTGAAAAGCAAATGAATATGATGCAAGTCCCAATGCATGTATAACCAATAAACAAAGCAATTCCTTCAATAATAAAATAAAAAGGTCTTTAACCCCTTAAGGACCAAACTTCTGGAATAAAAGGGAATCATGACATGTCACACATGTCATGTGTCCCTAAGAGGTTAAGGAAAATAAAGTCATTTTACCAGAGTTCCAGCACTTGGAAAATGAAGAAGAACTTGACTGAAGCTGTAGTTGAATTGCAGGAAATAAATCAAAGCTGGGACAGCGTTGCAGGAGTAAGCCACAGTTGAATCAGCATTGCAGGGGTTAATGAAAGTAGAAACAGCACTGCATGGGGTTAATCAGGATTGAATCAGCGTTGCAGGGGTTAATCAAGGTTGAAGGCAGGTTCCAGACAGACAAGAGTTGATGCAAGGGAATTCCACAGGTGAGGGTAATCAACTCACTTCAGTCAGGAGCTGGCTCTGTACTCCAGGGGAACAACAAAACAACTGAGCACAGACCCTAGGGTGGTCTGTGCTTAAATAGGTAAAAGGGAATGGGGGCAGTCAAAGGGGGGAGTCAAAGGGTCTATATAAGTGGAAAGCCCCTCTGGGTAACTGGGTGTCCACACCTCCATATGTGGGCAGGACGCTGTCTGTTTGTAGCTGAAAGCCATTGATCTTCATACTGCTTCCAGGTAAACCAGCATGGGTCCCACAGGGTTCTGTCAGCATGAGGGAACCCTGGGGACAGTGTGGGGGTCATGGTACATATATTACTTGGTCCATCTGCCGGAGGAGAGGTACGGACGAGCAGAGTCTGTGTTCCTTCCTCCATACGCCGTAACCCATGTGGTATGGTCGTGAGGCCCTAGTGCTCACAGCAATACGCTGCGGAGTGGTGGAAACAGCCAGAGACTGGGAGGTAGGTGGAGCGTGTCTCTCACTCCCAGAATGCAGATCAATCCTCCCTGTGTGCCATGACACAATCCCCCCCTCTAGGGCGCTAACCCTGTAAGCGCCCAAGAACGGGTTTGGTAGGATGTAGTCTATGGAAATTTATTACTAAAGTAGGCACATGAACATTTGTTGCGGGCTCCCAGGAACGCTCTTCTGGGCCGTAACCTGTCAAGTTTTTGTTTTTTTTAAATCTTTTTTTTTTTCTGTGTTCTGGTTTTTCCCCCTCTTTTATGCTGCTGCTTGATTGATTGGGGGAGTGTTCATTGATTGCACCTGTGTGGGATTTGTATCCCCATAAAGGCACACCCCTAACTCACTGAGCTTGCTCACATTATTTGAAAGCAGCCTCTATTAAGCAGACTCTTTCAAGTAGGAGTTAGAAAACCAGGAGTTAAAACTAACTAGGGGTTTAAACTAACAAGGTAATTGTTTTCATTTTCTGTTTCTGGGGAAATGAGTGTTAGCAAGATTGCTGGTTTGACTCAATGCACATCTTGTTGCATGTATGGATGCCTGGATGTACCCGTCCAGGGTCCATACCTCTGTGATGGTTGTGTGCGAGTGGCTTCTCTGGAAGCTCAGATTGGAGATCTCGAGAAGCAAATCGCAACTTTGAGGGAGATTGACAATCTTGAGATGAGTCTGCTGCTCACTGAGCAGAGTTTAGTGGGGACAGGTAGTGGAGAAGGAGGAGATAAGATAGATGGGGAACAGGCATGTAGCTGGGTGACAGTGGGGCAAGGAAGCAGGGGGGGAGGGAAGAGGAAAGGGCTAGCTAGTCCTGATTTGGTGCAACCTAGCAGATTTGCCCGCTTGAGGGAAGATGTTGGGAGCATCAGCTCAGAAGTAGCTGTATTAGAGGAAGCTGTTACTTCTAACAGCCGAGCTAACAGCCCCCCTAGTACGGGTGGGGATCAAAATGTAAGGAAGGCAAGACAGGTTGTGGTGGTAGGGGACTCTATCATTAGGAGAGCAGATAGGGCAATCTGCCGCTCTGATCGGCTCAACCGGACAGTTTGCTGTCTCCTGGGTGCTCGGGTCCGGCATGTTGCTGACAGAGTGGATGGATTATTGGGAGGGGCTGGGGATGACCCAGCGGTCATGGTCCATGTTGGTACCAATGACAAAGTAAGAGGAAGATAGAAGGTCCTAAAGAATGATTTCAGGGAATTAGGTAGCAAACTTAAGAAAAGGA